TATTGCATAATAAGTCAAAGAGTATATATAAATATAAAGAGTTTGACTTATTATGCGATAATCTTTGACGATATAAAGAGTTTGACTTATTGCGCAAACGTTTTTGAAGCCATTTAAAAAACTCGCAGGTCGTGTTTTATTAGGTCTAAATTCCACTCGCGCTGCGCGCTCGTGGCTTTAAACCTAATAAAACACTCCTGCTCTTTTTTTAAATAGTACACCTAAAATGTTTTTTTTACGTTTCTTATAACTAAGAGAAAATACAATGTGACGTGCTTGCACGAGCAAACTGAATTGGGAACGTTCCACAGAGAAGGAATTGATGCGTGATTATTCGTCCCAAAATTGGATAACGCTCCAGTGGGAAGTGCGAATGAATGCGGAAGGTGAACTGACTATAGCCAATGCCATTTTCGGACAAAAAGGAATTCCAGAATAAAGAAAACATTTCTCGTTGAGGGCCACTCCCAGTTGCAACGGCATCAACAAAGCTCACAGATAATCTATTTCTAATCAACGCTTCATCCTCGTACAGGTTGAGAACTTCTTCGACAATCCGACTCTTGTCGATGAGGGCAATACATGTCTCATGCATTTTGTCCAGTTCTGTTTGGCGAATATCTTGAAGTTTTCTGTATGTCGACATTTCCGCGTCATAACTTTGACTACTGTCATTTTCATCACCCGATAGCAGTTGTTGTGGCGGAATACTACTTACTTGTTCCAGGTCAAACGAGTTTGTGTTAGTTACGACAGTGTCATCGGTAACTTCAAAGTGACTTGACTTACCCGCGTAAAAAAGCACTTCGTTTTCATCTTCACTTAGTGCAACTGGAATTTCTCTCTCACTCATATTAAGAGTTGTTCTTTGTACTGTCTCACATTTAACGTCTGGAAAAATTAATTTCTTTGTTATTGCACACGTCAACGAAAAATGCTCTGGTTGAACAGACATAGAACCTATCCAGTTATATACTGCAGAGACTGACCATTCTTTTTTGAAAATATCCTTGTATGGTAAAATGATTTTCGACTCCATCGTTATCTCTTAAGACATCCACTTTCTCCATGTTAAATTTTGCAAGGTCAAATTCCATGCCTTTTGCAAAACCAAACTTAGACTGTCCCATGGGCGTATGAGCCTAATCTTGTTTGGGGGCACAGTATAGCTTGCCCGAACAGGCAAACTGAACATTAATATTTCTCCCCAAAATTGTTTGCGAGTGGGGGGGGGGAGGGAGGTCACCTAAAAATTTTTTCCGGACATACCAAAAACATTTTCCGGACATACCAAACAGTACTTTTCTACAAACATACGAAAATTTTGTCGTACATATCAGAAAATTTTCCCTAACATCACGTAATTTACAAAAATTTATGCAAAGATAATTGGGGGGGGCACGTGCCCCCCCCCTGGCCCATACGCCCATGGACTGTCCGTTTTCGAACAAGATACCAATGGCTGCTTGCAGAACAATTCTCCTTGGTGTATGCAGCAGGAACCTCCATATTAAAGGAATATACCGAATGGTTTTCCTTGCAGGATTGCGTGATCCATGCACGAGGGATGTCGCGAGACTTTCGGAAAGCGTAAAAATACTCGAGCCGCAAGCGAGTGTATTTTTACGCTTTCCGAATGTCGAGCAACATCCAAAGTGCATGGATCACGCTATCTGCTAGGAAAACCATGTGGCCATGGTAATTGTTTTATAAAATAACTACAGTGAAACATGACATTTTGAGAATCCCGCGAAAATCCCACAAGGCATTTTAATTCCTCGTGCAGGATAGCCTGATCCTGCACGGCTATTGACCAATTAAATTGCGTGTTTCACTGTAGTTATCCTAGTTCCTCCCCCATTGAGTTTCCCGTACATGAATGTAACGATTTTCCTTCTTATTATAATGTGGCCATCCAAGCTGAATTCGTCTCCTTCATTGGTACAGAAGATCCCGTAACAACATTGTTGGTTTTCTTACTTTTAGTACTAGTCTCTGCAACGTTTTGCTTCAGTCTAGTTTTCTTGCCAGACTGCAAAATAGCCATCAGCTTTCGCTTTCGTTCTTGTCTACAGCTTTCAGGATTCTGCGTAAATGATTCTGAGGGCGTGCTTGAAGAGTTCCATCCTTGGCAATATGAGCGCAAAGCACAGATATCTTCATTAGCGCACAAGCCAAGATCTTCCAATAGTTTATCGTCAGCACCGCATATAGAATCTGGGTCCATCTAGAATATATAATGTTTTAACATTAATACAAATATTGTATACATATGCATATATTATAATGATATCCATCTGTGATATGTAAAGCCTGGTTTACAACTGTGTTTGTGTTCATTAATTTGTCCTGAATTTTTGCATCTGCCTGAGAGTAGGTCACAATTATTTAAGTTTTATATGACAATCAAATACAAAAAAATCTCTCAGGTTAAGGTGGCACGATACAGTTTTCAAAGTGTTGGAAAATCACATTGGTGGAAACTATGTATCACCTGAGAGTAACGAAATTTCACTGTTCACTTAGCAACAACTATAAGCGAGCAACAGGGTCGGCGTTAGATCATGTCGTACTAACGACCATGACCATGACACCATCACCATCACCATGTCCATGACGTCATAATTTGACCGGCATCCAAGTATGTACTATTAAATTTATAGTTAAATTAATTTTTTTTAAAAGTAAACTGACCCTACTCCCAACCCTTACCCTAACCCTAACCTTTAAACGTGTACAAGTAAAAAAAGTTAAACTAGTCTGGAAAAAAAGTTCACAAATTTTAAGTGAAATTGCTAAAAAATACAAAAACATCAGGAAGCGGACTTGAACCCTGGGAGTAGAGCAAAGTTGTCTTATGCCTTGAACTAATGTCGTAATAGCATCTATACTACGGTCATTTTAGTATTTTAGTACATTGCACTAGCTGAAGGTACTTTAGAAATTATGACATCACGGTACGTTAGTTCGATATAATTAGCAACACCGACCGTACTTTTGTTGACTATCAATAATAAAAAAAATTAAAGCCACGTGACGTGCTATGCATGTGAATGCGACTTTCAACTCCTTTACAAACAGTTTCATGTTGTATTTTATAAAGTTGGGTTTTCAGTAAAATTTCAAAAATAAATAATAATAATAATAATTGATTTAATAGACCGCATTGCAGCCCAAACTGAACTTATACACGTTTCATGTATGATAATAAAGCACTTATTTACTGGACCCTCTGGAAAGCAGTATGTTTTATACTTCAGTATATAGCCAGGTGATGCTGAGTTCCATCAGCAGTATTTTATCCTCATAATTATGCAATATATATAGAGAGTATATATGAAAATCAGAGTTTGGCTGAAGGGTTGGTCAGGATTATTCTAATCAATAATTACAGTGTTTAATTACAGTGTTTAATTACAGTACAGTACATATTACCTTTTTTGTACGAAATCGACTGATCACACTTGCTTTTACATTTCTTGATTTTAAGAAATTTACTGAACCTATGTCAGAAAGGAAAGCATTAATATTTCGTATATACTAGAACATTTAAAGCAAACAAATTGGATAACAACTAATAATGCTGTACCTTTCCAATGCCTACGCGTTCAACGTCTTCTTCCTGGAAAGTCATCCATACTCTCATCGTTTTCCTCCATCTTGGATGCAATTACGGGCTATACATAATTACATGTTGCAACTTGCAATATATAATCGCCCATAAATCATCCTCAATAAGTCGCGATCGCGTGTTATAACTCGAGATCGCGCATTATAAGTCGCGATTTGACATAATAAGTGGCGATTGCGTGTTATAACTAGCGATTTATACATAAGTCGCGATTGCGTGTCATAAGTAATGATTTACAGTATACATGACTGTAAGTCGCGACCGCGTATTATAAGTCGCGATTCACATATAATAAGTTGCGATCGCGCGTTATAACCCGCTATCGCGCGCCGTAGGTTTCGATCGCGTATTATAACTGGCATCTTAAAAAGTGTTGTGTGTTAATGGATGGCCTTGATGAGCCATTGAGCCACAGTATGAAATGAAATGACTGAAATGGTGTTAAATTTCCGGTCGTACTAGCTAATATTATATACAGGAAAAGATAATATACATATAGAAGAAGGTATTCCAACGTGGACAAGTTTTCGTTGGTAATTAGGATGCAACTCAACTTCCTGAGAAATCAGGAGAATTTTGACGTTTCGAGCGAAGGCCTTCGGTTAGAGTTCGTCTATGAGCTTTTAATATACTAAGAATATAAAAACATCACGTGACAAAAATAAACCAATCAGATGGATTTAGTCAAAAGAAAGTATACACAAAAAATGTAAATCATATATATTAATACAAACATACAGAAAACTGCAGCAAATACAACAAAATATATGAAATATACGAATTCAAACAAGTATGGAATAAGGTATAAGAAGTAAAAGTACTGTCAATTTCTGCTTTTGACAGACAGATACAGAAGAGTTAAACATAGGAAAAAGTTCATTAATGCCATAGGGGTGGACAGTGCCAAGTTTGGAAATGAGACGTACGCATTTCATGTCTTTTACGGTTGTCGTTACTGCCAGAAATGGGCTCGAATTTCCATATTAGGCCGTTTGTTGCGTCCCGATATCGTTCACTTTCATTTCCCCTGTCTTGGAACTGAAATATTTTTACGGGAACTAACACTTTCGAACATGCTGAGTTGAAATCCGAAAAGTTGCCGCTCCGTAGACCTGCAGTTTTCCCATAAACTGCAATTTTATCTTCACTAGTTTCACGACAATTTTTTTCATTGTTCAACGACATGGATCGATGATGACAAACAATTAATTATGTCACTCAAAAAGACCAATTTCTGTTAACCAGTCTTTCGAAGCATTTTGAAATATGTAATATTATGCGTGTTGGACGTAAACAATATATCTTGTCTACAACTTTGAGAGGGTACAGATAAAGCTTTCTAAAATCCTCAGTTCTGGCTCTATCTCTAAAAAATCACAAGGACCGGACGTTAATGCTAAGTCTTTTGGCTATGTCTCTGGGCTGAGAAATAACTCATGTTAACACGATCAAGGTACGTATTTAAAACACAAGTAACGCGAAGACAACGGAACGGCAAAGACAACGCTAAAATGAAATATTGTCGATGGGTTGCAGGTAAAAGACTTTCAATTACAGGATCACTCTTATAAAATAATCTTAAACTAGAAGAGTAAATGTTCACATCAAGGACAAAGGTTAGTGCCAAAGTATAAAATCTGCTCTGTACTGGCATAGGACGAAGTGGAGAAATGTGTGCATGAGCTGTTTATTTGGTGATTTCAACGTATATGAAGGCCCTCCTTCCGATGAATACTCGCTAATCGCACAGAATAACACTAACTGATATAACGGTTCAAATGCAATGATAAGTTACCTCTTGAATTACGTCTCGGAAACTGTGTTGGAAATTTAAATGCTGCCCCACTACATGACATTGCCGTTGTTACATCGTTGTATATAAAACATTTTTATCGCATGTATGGAATTATTTCTCAGCCCAGAGACATAGCCCAAAGATTTAACCTCAACGTCCTTGTAATTTTATAGAGATAGAGCCAGAACTGAGAATTCTAGTAAGCGTTATCTGTACCTTCTCAAAGTTGTAGACAGATATGTTGTTTACGTCCAACACGCATAATATTACATAAGTTCATGACTCGAAATGATTCGAGAAAAACGGTCTTTTGTTAAAAGGAAGACTGGTTAATGCCCTTTTGAGTGACATAATCGTGTGTCGCCATCGATCCGTGTCGTTGAACAATGAAAAAATTTGTCATGAACTTAGTGAAGATAAAATTGCAGTTTGTGAGAAAACTGCGGTTCTACGGAGCGAGAACTTTTCGGAATTGTATTCAGAGTGTTCGAAAGTGTTAGTTCCCGTAAAAATATTTCAGTTCCAAGACATGGGAAATGAAAATCGTTTTCTAGGCACTTTTCGAGGTCATAGCATACGGCCTATATCTGAAACACTGTGATTGTCTGTATAAAATGTCTGGCAACAGGCTGGTTAATCCAACCATGACACGTTATCGTACGCTAATTATTACCAACGTTATTTAATAATTTATTACGTTTACACGACTATAAAAAATGTCAGCCTACCAAAACTTGATGCTTAGGCCTGTTTCATACGTCGAATTTTGGTCGCGTCGAATGCAATTAAGACAATAGATAATGAGATGATAAACTTCATTAAGCTCATTATCTATTGTTTGAATTATTGCATTTGACGCGATCAAAATTCGACGTATAAAGCCAGTTTAACACATGCGTAATTGTGCCATCTTTACTCAAGCGACTTTGAATAACAATAATAGAATAACTTCAAATACTCAGCAGGCAAAAGCTTTACAAACAATTCCGAACGGTGGGAAAATATATTTCAACCGGCATTTTTAAATGATCGTAGTTGGCTATTTTTGATCGCTATTGTACAAGAAAGGCTAGGTATCATTCGAAAGCTAAAAGTTTGATCTTTATTGGTATGAAAAAGTAAATGCAAAACGTAATACTGTTGTAATGCACGATAACATGCTAAGATGGATTACCTTTTTTTATATACAGTTTCGTGCATGTATGTCAGTATAGGCAGTAAAAATGCAGTCCAACTGAATGTCAACATGGGATAATATATTCTATAGTATCTGCCATACTTGTCATATTTAATGTTATGAGACATGTACAATAAATATCAAAACTTTTAAATTAACGGTATAATTACTTATAATTGTATCAACAAGCGATAATATATGTTAACCTCTTCGATATGTACATGTAGGCAGCGTTTACACTGTACCGTTTTCGTAGCGTTCTCGTATTGTTCGAGAGAACTAGACTATTGTCTTGCGTTCCCTTGAGGATTAAGAACAATACGAGAACGCTACGAAAACGGTACAGTGTAAACGCTGCCGTAAGGTCATGACACGTAAATTTAGTACTGAATAATGTAATATAACATTAGTATTACTCACCAAACACGACGTAAACTTCATCCCCGCAAGATGCCATTCTTTAATTTAAGGTGGCTTAAAATTCTTTCTTAGATACTGTAGCATGACAAGATCAGTTTTGAAAGACTACAAGTTCCGATATTACTCCCACATGAAATGTCTTTGTTCAGATTAACGTGTATATTATTATATTCTATATTTTTTTACTTCGAGTGATTGTCTTTGTGCTACAACTTACAGGTAACCGAAGCAACAACATTTACAGCAAAATTGTAAGAGCCGTAAACACATACTAAAGATTCAGAAAGGAACACTATAATGGTAGGAAGCCAAATATCGCATAATATTATGTAGTATATAATTATTTTGTTTCAGCAATTCCTGTTCATATATTTCAACACGTACGTGTTCCTTCCTGTTCCTTAATTAATTGTTGCAAGTAGAATATATAAATATGGAAATTTGGTAATTAACTTATTAAGTGCATATTTGAGTCGAAGTTACGTTACCCACAGCGATATGCAGATACTGAGATAATAATAGCCATGTTTTCTCCAATGGTTCACGCTCACACGAGACGGTATGAATCGCGGATTTCGTCTTCACACGCTGACACGCGGGACGCACGAAAGTAACCGGACGAATTCCCATGTGAACAAATAAGGAGTCTACGAGTCAACGGAGAAAAGATGCCCATCCTACGTCACATCCGTTCCAGGTTTTAAGTAAATTCACCTTATAATTCATACTACGTGCTATCCAATGTTTGGTCAGTGGTGGATAAAGACCATTTCATAGGAACAGCAACCGCGGCAATGCAATTGCCACAAAGTTTTCGCCACATTTGCCATTTATTCATCCGACACCCGATCCCAATGTGTTACTGCTATTCTCGCATGTCGTCATATCGGCTCAATTTCTCAAGGCATTTTGTACGACTTTTAGCCATATGCTAATTGTATTTAATTGAGTGCTCTTTGGCGCGAGCATTAATAATCTTAATAAGTTTTTAGACGTTCTCTGGTTTTTAAATATTTATTATTACGAGCTTTTACTTTTTTAATTACATATATTTACTTTTTTAATTACATATAGATACAAAATGACAGAAATATGACAGTTCCGCCTACATATAAGATTAATGACTTAAATTACATGTAGATAGATTCAGAGTTTTTTGCTAAGGGACCGGTCATAAAGTAACTACTAGGGTGGGCTGGAGTGATTTGGGATGGGCCATGGAAAATCTTTGGGCAGTTTCGATGGGCCGCCAATCTTTTTGTATGTCCACGGTTGGGCCACGAAACAAAAACCCATGCATGTCTACTTCAAAAACTAAGATACCAATAATAAAAGTAAACAAAACTATCCAAATTATCAAATGCAAATGATGCTATTGAAGCCAGTACTTTGTAAATACAACGACAAGAAGTGGTCGAATCACAACAAGTACAACCAACTGGAGAGCATCTCTGCAGTATGTCAATACAGTGCCGTGGATATTTACAATGTTCATGCCTGCAAGTTTTTATTATTATAAAAGTGTATTTTCCCAATTTAGATTTAGTGGGTCAAATTCATATGATTGATAATATACGTTAACATTCAATCATTCTTGGGTAAATTTGTTTTGGCCGTCGTCGTCGCTTTGCCGTCCTACATTTTAAGGTCTCTAATGTGTGTGTGTGTGTGAGGGGGGATAATAACGAATATCAACGAACTGTATTGGAATGAAACACTGGCTCTCAAAACTTAAACTCTTGAAAAGGACCGAAACCGCCGATCCCAAGAAAATACCAAAATCGTGGGGCGCGACAGAGCGGCAGCGCTACGCCGACGTTCGTACCGGTTTTGAAGCGCTATTTTCGAGTTGAATCCCTCTCAATCCGAAGCTTCCTTTCAGAAACGTGTTCATGCTTATTTTAAGATTTTTTAAAATAATTTCCGGTGAGCCCGCAATTTGCTGACCACTAGCACAGGCAGAATTCATCCCACCTGTTGATATAAAGTACTGAAGAGTTGAGACTTCTAAGAACTGGGCTTACCCTGATCTTGGTTACCACAGGGGTTGGTTATCACATTTTCCAAAATGCGCAGTTCTGAATGTTAGATGGGTAGTTGTAAAACCTAGAATGGCCAGTCCTAAAATTGAATTTTGGAACTTTATAAGAGAATTATATGGAGATAAATTGAGCATTCATACAGAGATTTCAGGCAAAAACAAACCAAATTTCACTCTCAAACATCAGGAAATAACCATTCTGGACTTCTAAAATTCAAAAACGTTTCCGGGGAGTATGCTTTCGGATCCACACAGCTATTCAGGCATGCAATACATCATGAGCTCAGCCTCATAACTCCCTCACAGTCTGTTCTCCTTGTTGAAATTGGCAGTTAGGATGACGCCTGGGTTAGCAAGACGTCCAGTTAGTAGATGTACTTATGATGTATTGAAATTATTGTGTAAAAATTTCTCAAAAGTACCAAAATTGTTGTACAATCAAATAAGTGTTTGACTACATTGTAATCGAGTATCATCATGTTTGCACTTAATTGTAATGCATATAATTAAAATAAGCACAATTCCAGCATTGAGTCCCAATACGTGTCTCGAATTCAGTATCCCTTTTTGTAACACTCCATCAGAATATGAATGTGCCTCTGGGGGATGTTTCAGACGTGATAAACATAATTATTTCGAATTTAATAATATAACGACGCACTTATTTCGCCGAACTTAATTTATCAACATGACACTAGGACTACAATGACTATTGCAGTTATTATTCTTAATTAAGTTTGCCCACTGTCGCCGATAGAGACGGAACTCGTGGTACCATCACATATTAAATGATTACTGAATTCCTTAGCCAACCTACACTAAATAAGCGAAGCAGAAAGGGGATGGTCGCAGGAGAAACAAGAGGATGATTCGCATCGGGAAAAGACTTCGAACCGGTTCTGGACGCGGATGGAACATGAAACGTAACAAGCAGCGAGAAAAGCAAAACCGACCGCAGAAGGGGAAACTGGAAAGCATGGGTGAGAAGCTCGAAGCAATTGATCGCGAAGTCTCGTTGCATGCTAATTCTTCAATATATATATATATATATATATATATATATATATATACATATATATATTCATATTATATATTCATACAACAACGTGTTATGCGTAGTAGTGTGGGCGTATCTTAATTCCCTGTTAACTACCTTCCATTGTACATGTGCAAAAAATACATTTAACTTGTTTTTGAATTAATAAGGTAAAATGCCCCATATTCAATAATATTATTCGGCGTCTGAATCAATGATGCACAACTGCCACAAAAGT